TTTATCCAATGAACCTCTTGTATAAAAGAACCAATGTACATAAAGTTTCTTTATAAAAACAAAAAGGAACAAAAAACATGTTTTCTTTTTAGCCAAAACCTGATTAATGTTAGTATTAAGTTTAAGTCATAGTACTGGCCAATAATTGCAGCCCCCCCTTTTCAATTCAAGAGCGTGTGCCCCTTCTTTGACATGTTAAATAAACATTTGAAATTGTTTCGTAAAAAAGAAATGCCTCGCTGTGTCTTTTCACGTGCATTGAAACTGTTCTTGTCATTTAACAAGGTAATGTGGTCTGGGTTAATATTCTCACAATAGTGACCATGGTGCATAAGAAGTTGATCACTGCCTTTTTGTAGGTGTTGGGAATATAGATTTAATGAGCAGTGCTATGTTATTACAGCCTCAATGAAAACAAATGTGTCCATAACACACCTGTCATTTTTTAGACTTGTGTATTGTGTTAGTTCTGAACAGGGAACATCTTCAAACCTCGCTGACGGTGGTTAAATGTTTAATAAAGCAGAATTAGGCCAACCACACTGGAAAATGAGTCTCTGAACCAGGGTAATAAGACAACTTCCAAAGCCCCAAAATAAATACAAATAAAAAAATAATAGACGACTGCTCCTTCTTGGAATACAGCGTCCTGCAAAAACAATGACAAAACAGCAGGTCAGCTCCGTCCCAGCACTGGGATCCCCTGCCCGGGCTCCCCGTTCCTTTTGCACTTTTCACTGCATCTTTATTCACCGTTTGGCACGCTGCTTAGGCTTTAATTAACTCAGAGGTAATAGGATGGAGCCCCTGGGACCTCATTAGGCATTTCAATTAGCGAAAAAATACACAAGGTAGGTTACAGTTTTTGGTGGCCTTGGAGATGAGGAGTAGTGCCAGGGATGGACCAATTATGTCAGAGTGGGAGGGGGGCCGTGGATCTGGGGTACTGGCCTGGTTGAGGCCACTGGCACATGTATACATTGCACCATTAAAAAGACGACTTTCCAGATAGTAGACAGCACCAGAAGATACAATGCACCGATAGAGCAGCGTGCGTTAATTGATTTTCAGCATTCAGATGCTAAATAAATGATCTTGACATTGCAGATCTATAGGAGTCAAAGCCGTGTATCAATGTTAATGTTATTTACCATCCATGCATGCACTGACAATTGTCTGTAACAGACTCGAAGAGTAGAGCCATAAAACAAATGTACTCCTCGTTATAGACAGCATTCCATAAAAAAAAACAGTTGCACTGAGGATGTGTTTGCATCCTGGCAACAAACTGTCAAGCCCCCCCCCCCACACTCTGTTTTAAGCCATCGTTAGCCGTAATAAGTCTTTGCTTGTTTGCTGCTCTATCTTACATCATTCCGAGCAGAAATCACACAGTGCCACGGCTGCTTGTACTCGCAGCCACTTCACCAGTCTGTCAGTGAAATTACAGGTAATGAGTTGTCAAAACAGCCGGCATATCTGTCTCCTCAAGGCCAAACACCTAGTGCAATGTTCAAGACAGTAGCCTTATTATGAAGCCCAAAGTGTCCAAGTGAATGATTTCAAATGTGCTGGTGATTGCAGGTATTTTTCTGGTATACATATCTCTATACTTCTGCCTGGTT